TACCATGTTTCTCTTTTATTAGATAGGATTACCAGTGGCATACAGGGAGCTAACCCAATGAGCTGTCAGAAAAGGTGTTTCCTCTGTAGTTCACACCAATTGCCGGCTTGGCCCCTGCCCAGGCCTAACGCCTCTGGCCGAGTCATTAGACCTGGGCAGGGGACCCCCAGCTGCCCACGATCGCTGACTCCGACCCTGCTCCCTGCGATTGCCGGCTCTGCCCCTGCCCAGGCCTAACGCCTCTGGCCGAGTCATTAGACCTGGGCAGGGGACCCCCAGCTGCCCACGATCGCTGACTCCGACCCTGCTCCCTGCGATTGCCGGCTCTGCCCCTGCCCAGGCCTAACGCCTCTGGCCGAGTCATTAGACCTGGGCAGGGGACCCCCAGCTGCCCACGATCGCTGACTCCGACCCTGCTCCCTGCGATTGCCGGCTCTGCCCCTGCCCAGGCCTAATGCCTCTGGCCAAGGATTTGACCTGGGCAGGGGACCCCCAGCTCCCACCTTGGCTGGCTCCCCGCTGCTACTCGTGATCGCCGGCACCGCTTCTGTCCAGACCTAACACCTCAGGCCAAGGAGTTAGGCCTGGGCAGGGGACCCCCAGCTCTCTATGATCGCCGACTCTGCCCCTGCTCATGATCGCTGGCTCCACCCATGCCTGGGCCTAACGCCTCTGGCCAAGGCATTAGGCCTGGGCAGTGAACCCTCCCAGCCCCCGCGATCTCCTGCTCGGCCCCTGCCTAGGCCTAATGCCTCTGACTGAGGCATTAGGCCTGGGCAGGGTACCCCCAGCTGCCCACGATCGCTGACTCTGCCCCTGCTCCCTGCGATGGCTGGTTCCACCCCTGCCCAGGCCTAATGCCTCTGGCCAAGGCGCCCACGATCGCTGACTCCGCCCCTGCTCCCAGCGATGGCTGGCTCCGCCTCTGCCCCGGCCTAATGCCTCTGGCCAAGGCATTAGGCCTGGGCAGGGGACCCCCAGCTGCCCACGATCGCTGACTCCGCCCCTGCTCCCAGCGATGGCTGGCTCCGCCTCTGCCCCGGCCTAATGCCTCTGGCCAAGGCATTAGGCCTGGGCAGGGGACCCCCAGCTGCCCACGATCGCTGACTCCGCCCCTGCTCCCAGCGATGGCTGGCTCCGCCTCTGCCCCGGCCTAATGCCTCTGGCCAAGGCATTAGGCCTGGGCAGGGGACCCCCAGCTGCCCACGATCGCTGACTCCGCCCCTGCTCCCAGCGATGGCTGGCTCCGCCTCTGCCCCGGCCTAATGCCTCTGGCCAAGGCATTAGGCCTGGGCAGGGGACCCCCAGCTGCCCACGATCGCTGACTCCGCCCCTGCTCCCAGCGATGGCTGGCTCCGCCTCTGCCCCGGCCTAATGCCTCTGGCCAAGGCATTAGGCCTGGGCAGGGGACCCCCAGCTGCCCACGATCGCTGACTCCGCCCCTGCTCCCAGCGATGGCTGGCTCCGCCTCTGCCCCGGCCTAATGCCTCTGGCCAAGGCATTAGGCCTGGGCAGGGGACCCCCAGCTGCCCACGATCGCTGACTCCGCCCCTGCTCCCAGCGATGGCTGGCTCCGCCTCTGCCCCGGCCTAATGCCTCTGGCCAAGGCATTAGGCCTGGGCAGGGGACCCCCAGCTGCCCACGATCGCTGACTCCGCCCCTGCTCCCAGCGATGGCTGGCTCCGCCTCTGCCCCGGCCTAATGCCTCTGGCCAAGGCATTAGGCCTGGGCAGGGGACCCCCAGCTGCCCACGATCGCTGACTCCACCCCTGCTCACGATGGTTGGCTCTGCCCATGCCCAGGCCCAATGCCTCTGTCCAAGGCATTAGGCCTGGGCAGGGGACCCCCAGCCCCCCGCGATCTCCCGCTCTGCACCTGCCTAGGCCTAATGCCTCTGACCTAGGCGTTAGGCCTGGGCAGGGGACCCCCAGCTCCCATTGCCGGCTCCGCCCCTGCTTCCCACAATCACTGGCCGGGGGTGGGCAAAGGCACCCCGTTCTCTGATCACGGGGCAGGGCAAGGGCAGCCCCCAGGGCCGCCCTTGCCCTGCCCCCTGGCTCTTGGCTGCCTCCTCAGTTTCTGATCAACAGCAGCGGCAGGCGGCTTCTTCCGTCCTTCCCCTTTCGCCTCCCAGCATTTCGCCTACGTATGCAAATTAACCGCCATCTTAGTTGGCAGTTAATTTGCACATCGCCCTGATTAGCCAATGGGAAGTGTAGCGAAGTTACAGTTAATTACCATGTTTGTGTATTATTAGACAGGATTATCAATAATTCCCAGCTCAGTATTTTATTAAACTTTCATTGGAGAACAAAAGAATAAAGAATCTAAAATGTATCAGTTTGTGAGACATAATTACATCAGAAGCTCTTTTTATATCACTTTTTTATAATTATAGCCCCATGAATGTGAGTGGTTAATAGGCTTAATATTTATCTATGTCTGCTTTTTCTCCAAAGAAAATCATAACTGGTATCTTCATATATAAAATCTGCATCAAATAGAGTTTTACTGAAAGTTCTCAGAAATAAACAGTAAAATTAAGAATCATCCCCTATGTGGGAGCACAAAGATATTACAGAATTGAGGGGATTTTTAAACTACACTATCAGCATCAGTAACTTAAAAATAACATCTATAAACTTAACATTCAGCAAAAGTTTAATTTTCATGTTACAAATCAAGAATCCCTTTAAGGTCTTAGGAGTCCTGAACTGGTTCCTTATTTTAACACACAAAGAACAAACCTACACAATGTACAAAGTGCAGTTACTCACCAAGATAGGGAATGTTTACACACTTGCTATGATAGATCTGCTAATGGAAAAACAAGGGAACTCTTAAAACTAATTTTTGATGAAATAATACAGCCCCCGGATAAACCTCAAAATAGAAGCTGACATTACTGTGCAAGAAGCAACTAACAATTATTACCAGGGGATAAAATAAAAAGTGGGTTTTGGGAAATATAAAAGTGCTTTCATGCCTGCAGTGATAAAGACCATTGGATTTTCATAAAATGTGGAAATAAAAGATTTGTAGCTGGAACAGATGGATAAACTTGAATTCAAGGCTGGACCTTCCCCAGTAACTGGCACCGTATAATCTTTTCCCTACTTCCAAGGAGAGCTAGAGCTCCCCTCTCATAATTCAACAAAGACCACACAGAACAGTGGTGGGCCCCACACCCATGAAGGCCAGGTGGAAGGCCAGGCATTACTGCTTCTTCTCCCTGTAACAGGGCCCTGCCATACCACCCAGGGCTTGGCCCTCTTCTTGCAGCCACCACACCTCACTTCTTTCCTCTGCTTCAGACCCCCCTACCCACACAGGCACTTGTGCCAGGCACAGGGCTAGGTCTCAACAGTGTATAACGGTATGTTGGCCTGTTCCCTCAAAAGGCAACACTGCCAACTTCTCCACTGTGGTGCATTCCCTGTGTCATTTTGTGCTGAAAGGTAACATTACATAGCAGGCATCTATTAATGAGTAGCGAGTTGCATGCAAAAGAGAAAGTGAAAAATCTGAAGTGAGAAGAGATGCCTTCAAAGATTTGCCCACTGCAAGAGAAGCAGCACACCTCCTGGGCTCTCATAGCTTTCTTCACCTCTGTATCCTCAGGCAAACAAACAACAGTGCCTGGCGCATAGTATGTGCTCAGTAAAAACTCAATCATGAGTGAAAGCCTGCAAATAAATGAACTGTTCTTAGGGCTTTTCTGAAAGTCTGACCTCATCGTGTGTAGTTGTGGAACACACAAGCACAGTGTTTAAAACTCCCTGTAAGAGCTCAAAGGCACAGCTTTTTAGGAGGGACTTGCAGGGAACCCAGACTCCTTTTGTTAGTTTCTGCTGACCTTGGACATCTGTGCCTCGGTAGTGCCTCTGGCCCCCAGAAAGACCATGGCCAGCGCTGAGGAAATGCTCATGGGGGAGATGAAGATGTTCCCAGAGGGGTTGTTGTCCTTCAGGGTGCGGAAGAGGTCCACTGCGAACCGGGTGTTGGCCAAGCTCAGCTGCTCCATGGTGAGGCTACAACACAGGACAGAGGCCTAGCACACCAGCAAATATGGCAATGACATTTCTCCATGGCTCCCTTGCCCTGAAACACCCGGAAATTTGTACTTCCTTTTCTTTTCTCAGGAGGACAAGAGCACACAGATAGGAACTGGACAAGGATCCATCAGCAACTCTGGGCAAGGAACCAGGGAGCTGAGAGGGCTCTGACATGCAGATTCAGCAGCCAACACTGGGCCTTTCCTACTCAGTTGGGGAGCACACACATTTCCCACCCTTTACCTGAAATGATAATTTTCTATTAGAAAATCATAGCTACCCACTCCGCATTAAAGCAAATTTCAACAAAGTGGTAGATTTTCCTCATTTTCAAGATTCAGTTGCTAATGTTTAGAGAGGTGAAGTGTCCCAAGTCTCGAGGCTGGTGTAGGATGTGAGAGCTTGAAAACCCAGCACAGGCCTTAGGGTCGGGGTGCAGCCCACCAGCAGCAGGGGCCAAGCATCCTCTCTGACACCCACCCCTCAGGTGCAGGTGACTGGCCTTCCACCTCAGCTCAGAAGCCTGCTTACCAATCCTGACTCCTCTCAGAGCTTGTTTCCACAGAGATGGGCAAGGAAGAATAATAGTGGTGCTAGCTGCTTCCCTGTCAGTAATACATTGAATTAACACTGTTGTTACTGGAAAGTAACCTCTAGGATCACATTGGCCTCCCCTCGATCCTTCCCTCCCTCCTTCCCTCCCTCCATCTCTCCCTGCATCCCTTCTTCTCGCCCTCCCTCCCTCCCTACATCCACAGCAATGAAAAGCTATGGCCCCTGGGCTGTCTAAAAACTGTTACAAACTGCTCTGGGAAGCAGGAAGTTGAGAAAGAAATGATCTCGGGCATGGCTCTAGCTTCCAGCCACAAAGCCGCGTCCAGTCTATCGCAGGCCAGCCTGCTCTCGCTCAAGGGATTAGGGGTTGGGTGGGGGTGTTTCCGGTATCATCTCCCTCTCAGATGAGAGGTGCAGGCAGCAGTCCCAGTGAAAGGGCAGGGGCTGCGGGTAGCCAGGCCACAGAAGGCCAAGGCGGAGCCAGGAGTAGGCAGCTGGCAGATCCCAGCCCTGGGCAGCCCGTGCTTTCTTTGTCCCACTTCCCTAATGGGCCTGGTGCCCACAACTCACCCTTTGCTTGCTGCCTGGGAGGGGCTCTGGATCTGAAGATGCCTGCAGTGCAAGCACCGTCCTTATATACTCCCTGAGGTGGGTGCAGCTCTGGGCCTGCAGAAGGAGGAAGGGCTATGCTGGGAGGCGTGGTGTTGGGGCGGAGCTGCATAAGGAGCAGGGTGGGGCAGCAGGGCAGGCACAGCTGGAGTCCAGGCACTGGCAGTACAAGCCTAGATGAGGGTGGACTTTCTGCAGTGCCCTATTCAGGAGATGAGCAACTTATTGAGTCTGGGTGAACTCAGAGGTCTGGCAAGGACCTGATTGCCTAGTAGTTCTTGCCTAAGTGTGAATCACTGAGATGACATAATGTATCACCTCTTACAGGGCAAACTAGCCCCTCTGAATCTCATCTATATACTCCAAAATGGTTTTCTTTTCCTGTGTTTTTGTTTTTGTTTTGTGGGGTGCAGAGGGACCTCCATTATAAGATAAAACAGTCCTGTCAGCTGATAGTCATTGGTGCCAGTTCAATGCCACCAGGAATCCCCAATTTAGGGTGCAGTGAAGAAGGAAACTTCATTCAGTGCAAACAGTTCAATTGTGATACAGCTCAGTTACTAGCATGAAGCAGCAGGTGGCAAGGTGGCCCTGTCTGGCTAGCCAGCTCTGCTCTGCTCTCCTCCACCTGCTCCATTCCCATCTCCCTCTTCCTGTTTCTCCAGGAAACAACCTTGAGTGGAAAGAGAAAGTGTGCTCCCAGAGCCAGAAAGAAGCTGGCTTAAATAGAGAGAAGTCCCCACCCCTGGTCTCTGATTGGTCCATCCTCATGCAAAGGAAGACTCCAAGTCCTCAAAGTTTCATTGCTCCAAAAAGCACTGTCCTGATTGGTCAGAATGGAGCTGCTCTAGTTGGTTAGTGAAAATGCTGATAAGGATAGAATGGCCAGGCACCCCAGGAGGACCCCCCACCCTGAAGGGGCTGTGGCCAGTCTGAAAACGGCCCTCAGCCCCTCACCCATGCTGGCCAGGCACTCCATTGGGAACCCCCATCCTGAAGGGGATGTGGCCAGTCTGAAAACGAAACTCAGCCCCTCACCCAGGCTAGCCAGGGACCCCAGTGGGACCCCCACCCTGATCCGGGATACCCTTCAGGGCAAACCAGCTGGCCCCCACCCATGCACCAGGCCTCTTTCCTTCTTAATAAAAGGGTAATATGCAAATTGACCCTAACAGCAGAATGACTGGTCACTATGACACACACTGATGACCACCAGGGGGCAGACGCTCAATGCAGGAGCTGCCCCCTGGTGGTCAGTGCGCTCCCACAGGGGGAGCTCTGCTCAGTCACAAGCCAGGCTGACGGCTGCTAGTACAGTGGTGGTGGCGGGAGCCTCTCCCGCCTCCTCAGCAGTGCTAAGGATGTCTGACTGCAGCTTAAGCCTGCTCCCCGCTGGCAAGTGGGCATCCCCTGAGGGCTCCCGGGCAGCCAGAGGAATGTCTGACTGCCATCTTAGGCCCAATCGTCCAGGGAGCGGGCCTAAGCCAGCAGGTGGTTATCCCCCGAGGGGTCCCAGACTGCGAGAGGGCACAGGCCGGGCTGAGGTACTCCCCCAAAGTGCACAAATTTTTGTGCACAGGGACTCTAGTTATTTTATAGGTTGTCCCAAAATTCACGCAAGATTTGCAATTGAATTGAATTGCAAATCTTGCGTGAATTTTGGGACACCCTATATAAGTACTATTGGCCCCATGCATAAAATTCATGTACATTAAAAGGGAATTAATTAGAAGAAATATTTTCATATTGATATTTGCCCTTTCTCTATAATAGAAGTGTCAGAGATGAAAGAAAATTAGTAAAATGTATATGAAAATCAGCCTCCTGTCAGAGTCTGGGGCACGCTGCAGAACCTAGAGCCAAGTTCCTGCCCACCACCTGCACGTGCTTTAAAAACATTAGAGACCCAGACCCAGCCAGCCCCTCCCCCATTGGATAAGACCTAGACTCAGCCAACCCCAACCCCCATCAAGCTGTTTTTCGCAGAGAGCAAAACCTCAGGTCCCCCATCCTGGCACCAGATGGGGGACGGAGTCTCAGATCCCCAGTCAAGCCCCACCAGCTGGAGGGAACAGCCTCAGGTCCCCGGCCTGGCACCGGAGTGGGGGGCACAGCCTAAGGTCCCCTGTCAAGCGCTGTCCAGCTGGGGGCATGGCCTGAGGTCCCCAGCTTGGCCATGGGGTGGGGGTGGGGGACACGGCCCGAGGTCCCCCGTCAAGCACAAAGGGGCAGGGAGTGCGGCCTGATGTCCCTGCTGTTTGGTCGTGATGTTACAGCATCTCAGCTATAATACATATTCCTCCATTATATAGATAGATTAGAACCACTTGCCATGTTTCACCAAATAAAAAATAATACAAAGAAAACCTGTTTTTTAATTGAAAATGCATTGAATATGTAGATCAATTGACATTTCAATAATGAATCATGACCATGGTATAGCTTTCCATTTATTCAGAACTACTTTATTTTCTTTCAATAATGATTACAGTTTTCTGTATAGAATTTCTTAACATGTTTTTTTTAAAAAATATATTTTATTGATTTTTTACAGAGAGGAAGGGAGAGAGATAGAGAGTTAGAAACATCGATGAGAGAGAAACATCGATCAGCTGCCTCCTGCACACCCCCTACTGGGGATGTGCCCGCAACCCAGGTACATGCCCTTGACCGGAATCGAACCTGGGACCTTTCAGTCCGAAGGCCGATGCTCTATCCACTGAGCCAAACCGGTTTCGGCCTTAACATGTTTTGATGAATTTATTCCTAGGTATTTGAACATTTTTTACATCATTATAAATGCTTTTGAAAACATTTTTTAAAACTTTGTAACTCAGAAATACAAATTAGCTACGTAACTTGCACTTGTAACGAGCAATGCCTTACTTAACTCAGTTTTAAGTTCTAATAATTTAGACTTTAGATGAAAATATTCATCTGAAATATTATAAGATTTGCTCTTACTTTCAAATTTTTATATATTTTGTTTTTCTTACCCTACCATATGAGCTAGGATCTTCATTAAATTTTGAATAAGTGATGGTAACATACATTCCTATCTTGTTAAATTGCTAACTAATTTCTTCTTTAATTTTTTCTTTTTTTTTGGATAATTTTGAGGGCTTATTATTGGGTTCATACAAATTTAGAATTGTTATATTGTCCTAGGGATCTGAATCTTTTTACCATATGAAGAGTCTGTCTTTATCACTAGAACAGGAAAACCTACTTTTTCTAATAATCACAGCACATCTACTTTTATGGTTAGTATTTGCATCATATATCTTTCCATTCTTTTTTCCTAATTCTATTTTTTTTATGTTATAGATATATTTTCTGTAGCCACCATACAATATTTTTTCAATCTAGCCTAACCATTTTTGTCTTTTAACTGAAATATTTAGTCATTTCACATTTATTTTTTAAGAATATATCTTTATTGATTTCACGGAGTAAGGGAGAGGGAGAAGGAGAGAGCTAGAAACACCAATGATGAGAAAATCATTGATCAGCTGCCTCCTGCAGACCCCCTACTGGGGATCGAGCCTGCAACCCAGGCAAGTGCCCTTGACTAGAATCGAAGGTCGGATCTTTCAGTCCACAGGCCAATACTCTATCCGCTAAGCCAAACCAGCTAAGGCTAGTCATTTCACATTTAAATAATTACTGAAATATTTGGAATTTAATGTGATATTTTGCTATTTGTCATTCCTGTTCTGTGTATCTTTCTTCTTTCCCCTTTTTGGATTGGTTGTGTAATTTTGTGTTGTTTTTTTTTTCCTCTTTGGTTTATTATGGAAGTTATAAACCCTTTCACTATTCTTCTTTCAGTTACCTTAGACCAGGGGTCGGCAAACTGCGGCTCGTGAGCCACATGCGGCTCTTTGGCCTTTTGAGTGTGGCTCTTCCAAAAAATACCGACTGCTGCACATTGGCCATGAAGTTTCAATCGCACTGTATGTGCGTGCCCGCATGTGGTATTTTGTGGAAGAGCCACACTCAAGGGGCCAAAGAGCCGCATGTGGCTCATGAGCCACAGTTTCCCAACCACTGCCTTAGTACGAAATGCATCCTTGACTTATCAAAATCTAATCTAATAAAAGACAAATAGAGTAATTAACCGTACCTCTGACATGCTTTCCATTGGCTAATCAGGGTGATATGCAAATTAACTGCCAACTAAGATGGCGGCTGGCAGCAAGGAAGCTGAAGCGAACAGGAGGCTTGCTTGCTCCAG